AGGCGAGCTCGGAGGCGTCGCGTCACGAAAGCCGCCCTGGGGAGGACGTCCGCGCCGCCGCCGAGCTCCTTTAGTTGAGTGCCGAGGAGGAGGGGAGGAGGGGAGGAGGACACAGGAGAGAGAGTGATGCATGGGAGGAGATGAATACGAAGCAATGGAGGAAGAAGGATTGATAGCAAGAAGCCAATGGTCATGGAAGGACGAATGAGGGTCTAGAGCAGAGGTTCTCAACCTTTATTGGTTAGTGGCGCACTAACTGTACAGTAATAATAATAATGATAATAGTAACATTATTATTATCATTATCATTATTATTATCATTATCATTATTATTTTTATTATTTTTTATTACCAATATTATTACTGTAGTTGTTTTTATTATCATATATATAAATCAACTCATGAGCACATGGGAATGAAATACATCCATTCCAGTTGTAGACTAAACATGCATGATTAGTGGGACACTTGCGCCTGTCTGGATTTGCATATCCTATCGATGTTAGGAGGGACACTGGAAAAAAGAACTAGATGTCCATTAAATTTTCGCGGCGCACAGGTTGAGAAACACAGGTGTAGAGTGAAGGGAAATGAATAGGAAACGGAAAATAATCCAGAGGAACGGCTCCAAGCTGAAGAGGAAAGAGGATTGGACGCCATCGACTAAAGGATACAGGTGCGCCTCTTGCCGAAATCGGATATCTTTCCCAGACAAACGTCAAGGAATCTCGTAAATAAGTCTATTTTCTCAACCCTTCTTCAAGAGGTTCCACTTATGTAACACACTGGGTGAAGTCATTTCCTCTACTGTACGCTTATGTGCCGCGTACAACTCTAGTGCTAATGTTGAACGCAAGTGAAGAGGTAAATTGTAAGGCTGATCAACTAATGAATTCCCTTCAGCGGCTACAATCCCATTCCTCGTCCGCGCTTTGTAAAACAAAGGCGCCGCCGCTGAGAGTGAGAATGGCAAAGCAGAATCTCTGACACAATAAGTGAGTGCGAAGGGAGAGCAAAGTATAAGCAGAACAGAGGCGCTCCTCCAGAGCGGTGGCCACGAGCAAAGGCCGTGTCCCCGTGCAATATTGACTTAACATTCAACAGTCCTGTGGATGAAGTGGGGAAGGGGGATGGCCCGCTGCGCTAATGTTTTCTTAAGATCTTCTGAGATACTGCAGTTGGTGTTCTATATATTACGCATGACCTAATGACCTCGGGGTCAAACTTGTTCTACAGTCATGTTGACCTTGTCACAATGTACCAGATTTTGCTACGATTCTGTCAGTGTTGTTACAACTTTGCTGTGACCAGAATATCCAAGTACTGCACATGTATTGGCTCACAGTGCTAGTATGACCTCACAGCCCAACTGTTGGCTCAGAACTCCAATGTGATCACCTAATAGAACAACTGATTTAAGTCGCGGTGACTTCACAACAAAACTATTGACTCAAGAATACAACTCAAATCGTCTCATAAAATTAAGGGCGCAAGACGTTAACTCGACCTCTCTGTGGAACGATTGAGTCAAGCGGTTTAGGTGTTTCTCTTCATCTCCCTCTTAGTTATCCTCCCTGAGTCCGAGTCCCCGCTAATCTTTCCCTTCTACCTCTTCAAGCCCCTTCGTTCCTCTGCGCACTCCTCTCCCCGGATCCTACTCCAGCCACTACTTCGATGACAACCAGGACTAACTTGCTTGGCCAGCCGTGGGTGGCGAAGCGGGGTGCACGGGGGGGGGGCGCATGGATGAGGGAGGGAGGGAGGACGAAAGAAGCAGGAGAAAGAAAGAATGGGGTGGGAGAGAGGGAGGACTTGAGGCAGGGATGTTCACTCACACTCCCCAGCAGTCACGTCAGTGTCAACTAGCAATATAGTGACACAACACCGGCCCCCCGTGGGCACGGCAAGGGGCCTGCGGGGCGCTGGGAGGCGTCTTGACAGGGAAGCGGACGCGTCGCAGGGGCGTCGACAGGCAGAGGGAAAAGACCAGAGAAGAAACGAATTATTTGCTAAAAACGAACAATAATTTAAATGAAATTTAAATTACTTCATAAACAGCTTCGTATAATCCGACACAGACCAATCTTCATGTACCGTTGGAATATAAATAAACTCAATCCCTCATCCGCAAAGATTTCTCGTGTAAACGTCATCTCTTCATCTTTCCCGAGTAAATCTGACGCAAGACGACACGCAAAAAATGCCCACATAAACGCATCCATGTACACACACTCCCTCATAGGGCCACTTAACTTACAATTGATGTCATTAACCACAAAGGCTTCTGTGTAACCATCCAACACCTGACCGCCTCACCCGCTGATGTAACAACCATAATGACCCTTACAGGCGGAGTAACTTGGTGTCGTAATCGCGTGTCTTGTGACAATATTTGGGCAACTCGAGGGGCGGAGTTTCTAACCTTTCCAATGGTTCCAGCGAGTTCATCGACTCACGTCAAATCCCATCCCAGAAAAATGCATGATTCACAAGATCTCGACCCATACCTCTCGCAGCGCCCAGTCGTTTCATGCAAACGACGCGCATGGCCATTGCACGAACGCCTCGGTAATCCGCACGCTTGCTTAAGCCGAGAAACAAGGCTTTGCGAGCACGCCTGGCCCTCGGGCTCCATCCGCGAGCGTGTGCTCCGTACCTGGCGATGAGGACATAGCACTGCTGGCTGCAAGATTGTCCCGCAGAACACATTACTCGATTTAGTAATGACCTCACTCGCCATCCCAAGAGGCTCTGTAACCCTAGCCCACCCGCGTCCCTCACCCTCGCCAGCTGACTAACCCCGTGGTAAAACCCTGCGGTAAGGCAGTGTGGTAAGGTGCCGTGGTACCCTGGGGAGCCAGAATACCCGAAACGCGACGCAAAAATAAAAAACACAAAAAAGGAGTGAGCTTTAAACGACAGCAAGACGACTGTTTGCACGAAAAAAGGCAACTTCTGCTTCATAACACACAAAGTTTGACGCACTTATACATTATTTGTATCAGGACGGAGAAACATCCGGGGAAGTTCTCCGTGAAGGAAAGCGATTTCATAGCGCTGCCTCTTAGGCAACAACCAGGTATACAGCTGCTCTGTATATGCACTGTTTGTCTCATGGCATCACAGTGGCTCTTACATAAACAGTAGAGAACAAACATACAAATTAAATTTTCTTCGGTACTCATTTGCGTTGGGGGTATTCCGGCGCAGCCTTACATCTGTGAAACAATGGCTCGAAAATCCTCGAGCGAAGCATGACGATTCAAATTCAAATTTCGAAGCACCACGCCCACCGCAGACTCCGCGGCGCCGAAGGAGGGCCGGGTCATGCTTCGACACATGACAGCGCGACGCTCTCAGCTCTCGCCGTCATCGCCTAGTGCTCCACGGCCTCCTACGCCGTGGCTATTCCTGCGTGGGCGCCTGGAATACGTTTCCGCTGGATTTCGGAGCAGTTCCCGTGAGCCGTTCGGCCGCGCGAACCGCTCACAGGAATCGGAGGCATTTCGTAATCGAGCGCTGGCCGTTTCCGGAGGCGGCGCGTGATTGCGGCAGCGCATTCCGCCTCGTTCTGTTCCCAGAAATGTAATGAAGGAGATACGCTTTGCGCGAAGCGAGTTGCGTCACTGCCGAATCCTGTAATATCCTTCGGGATGCGCTCTTCGCGCGCCTCCGCATACAGGGGCACGGAATCATTAGCACGAAAGACGTTCCTCCCAAACCTGTACGAAGATTGCAGTTAGTTTAGAGACTAAGTTCTGTCTACTCTGATGTGTACAACACTGCCACATATGTCTGCGCATAACTCAACGCGCGAACGTGCGGGTGCATCTAAAATCATTAGATATATATGCGTGTGCAAGGCTGTCCCTAGTTCATTACGATATAAAGCAGTGTACGGGTGCCATGTCACACTAATCCAGCATAAAAAATGAGGAATATTTATCTACTCCCATGTGGACATGAAGGTGTGAAAACAATACTCTCCATCATTAAATTCTCAAGATTACAACGCGTGTGCCTTGCCTGCTTCCGCTGAGTCAGCAGGCACAGGGAGATGAGAACGGCCAAGCAACCACCGAGGACCGGGAGGGCAGAGCCGAGGAGCGCTAAACCGATGAAGGGAGTGCGAGACCCCGGCCCGGCCATACGGCCCTGACCTCGCCAAGCATGCAGGTAAGCACAGCGCCCCTTGGTAACCGGCAACACACGCAGGCGACACCATGGCAACATGCTCCTGAACGCCGGATGTGGCATCAAGCGGCGGTGCTCCCGGGGAGGCAGGAATGGAGCGGGAGGACGAAGCGAGGCGGAGGAGAGAAGAGAACGAGGGAGAGAAGAAAAAAAGAGATAGCCAGACATATGGCCAAGAGAGCGAAAGATTGGTTTGCCATCCCCAATGAAGTAAAATTACTGCCAAGCAATATATGTCACGTGACAGAATATGATACACATGCCATGTAAGCTGACACGAGACAGAAAACCGACGCTGATGATGCACGGCACGAGCGAAGATTAAGCTGACACGTGTGCCCAAAGGCACGGCTCGACAACCCAAATTCATGAACACAGTACAACAGAAAACACGAATTCCCTTTAAAATAATACTTTGCAGAAACCTAAACCCAGAATCTCTCTCTCACTCCCTTTCCCCCTCTCACTCTGTCTCTTTCTCTCACCCTTCCCATCTCTCACTCTCTCTATCTCCCCCCCCCCCTCTCACTTCTCTCCTTCCCCCTGTCTCTTTCTCCCCTCTTCCTCACTCTCTCTCCCCTCTTCCTCACTCTCTCTCCCCTCTCTCTTTGCCCTCCTATCTCTCTCTTTCCCCTCCCTCTCTCTCTCTTCCCCACCCCTCTCTCTCTCTTCCCCCCCTCTCTCTCTTTCTCCTCTTGTCAATGCCACTGCCTTTCGAAGATGCTTATTATAAAAGAGAAAGCAAGAAGAAAGGGAAGTCTCTTGCTCTTAGGCCAAACAAATAAACAAACACATCCAAGTCTTAC